TATATGAATGAATAAATTACTATATACATATATATGCCATTATATATGTGTATGTTTATATATATATAATCATAATATGTGTGTATATGCACATATTTATTTGTATTTCATCTATACATATATGCATATATACAAACATATATATATRTGAAAAACGAGATTCACTTTCTTGCTAAAATTTAAAGGGTTTTGGTAAATGACAGTAGGGTACATAAAAGCAAAAGAACACAACGTCGGGTGCTTGGCGATCTGCCACAGGCATGCTGGCTATTGACGAGAGGCATCTTTAAATACRTTTCGTATTGCATCARCCTAATACCTATTCATAGACATTTATGCATATTCAAACTTTTCCAGAACTGTTTTAACATAGATCCGCCTTTTTAAAGCATGAGCATTGAATTTTTTAGGTCYCTGGGGTCGTGACCCCTGTTCCRTAGTTTCAGCAGATGATMATTGTCGATAGGGAAGTGTCCMTAGCAGTGGCCCCTAATGGGTCACGAGCCCCCTGGCCTGYCCATTGCAGATATGGTTGTCTGAAGGTTGAGGGGTCCCRTCAGCCAGGTTCCTTTTGTCGCAAACAATGGATGTTTTTACAAGTTCTTCCGACCAGGTATTTTTTCCAAAGGCCTCTGTTCCTTCCACCCCCACCCTTTSGCTGTCAGGGTCTGTGCTGACCTGGCAGTTGATAGCCCTGGGGCGATGGCCTCCCCACCCGGAAGGTGCTAAGCATCCTTGTGAATGTATGCATTCTTTTCCCCAGCTCTGAGCTGCTTCTTATCYTTAAGGACCATTGCCATCAGGGCCCCATTCAGGGGATTTTTGGTGACTTTCTTTGCAGCTTTTGTACAGTTTTTGCCATAATATAAAAAAAATTAACTAAACTTCTTCTACAAATAAGACAATATTATATCATGATTTACAACACATAGCATCTACCTTTAATCTCTGCGAGAATTAACACTACAATAAGTGTTTAACACACACATAGCACTCATCTTAGTATTTGCGAAAGCCAACACTATAATATATTTATAACATATATATATACACACACACAAAGTATGTGTCTCCACCCATGACAGTGAATAAGCCRTTATATATAAATATATATATATGCCATTATGTAAGTGTCTCTTTCTATATATCTATCTCCTCCCGCACRTATGTATATATCCTTTTATAAATATACGTACATATACAAACTCTGTGTCTCCTCCTTATTCTGGGGTGTCAGTGTGCAGCATTTTTAATTCTACTGCACTTTAATGTATTTTAAACTGCACGTGGTTTGTTCTTTTTTTCCTCTGCTCTCTTTGGCTTTGAAAAAAAGTGGTGAAATATTTGCTTGAAGTAAATATTAAACTTCGAATTTCTCTGGTTTTGGACTTTGACTCACTTGGATTCTTTCCCTGCTGTTTGCAAAGTTGGGAGCTTACCAGATTTTTTTTAATTTTGTAATCTATTTAGTAGATATTGGAATTAATGAGCAGAGTTAACACCTATTCTTCTTATTTTTGTGTGAAAGGGTAACACAGAAAGATCATTTCAAGATCATTTCTCCCCCTCATCATGGTACAAAACAGTGCTTCCATCAGCTTACATCGCTTGAAGTGTCACTTTGAGGGTGGTTGTAAAAGTTGATGATCCTATTTATTTTTAGCAGCAGAACTTGAGGGAATGTTTTGCCTAGGAAAATGCCAAATCCAGCTGTTTGGAGGAGCACACCTGGACACAAGGTGCCTGTCTTRAGGAACCTCAGCTCAGGCCAAGAAAGATGTATCTAATAACAACCTTTCTTCTTCTATTTTGTTTCCTACACCACACTGAATGGCAGGGGGTGGAACAAGATGATCTTTAGGCTGCCTTCCACCCCAAGCCTTCCATGATTGTGTATGGCCAGGTGAGAGACAGGAATTTGTCCTAAATAAAACACATGAGCAAAAAAAGCTTACTTAACCCAAAGCTCTAACTGAAGATCCTAATTGCCACCAGATTCTGGAGCCCTCCAGGCTGCTTAAGCAGCTCTTCATGTATTGAAGTCTGAGGAAATGAAAAGTTTTCTAAGGCTGTGTTTTTTTCATTCAGGATGAGCCTAATCCTGTCCCAACTTAAAAGTGCTGTCCCCTTGTGGGATTCTGACCATTTTGCAGGTTTGGTTGCCATGGCTGTTTTTTGTTGTGCCTCAGAGCTGCCTGCACACTTGGCACTGTGAATTCCCTCTGGACACTGAGCCATGCAGGAAAAAAATGCAGACTGAGGGGGATGTTTTCCCTTCCCCAGCCCCGGATTCCCGATGTGTCTCTCCCTGGGACCAGGAGCAAGCTGGGGAACAGGTGGGAATGGGAATGCAAACATGGAGTGGTGCTGGCTGCTGAGTGTGTTCTGGTCACTCCATCAATCGGGACGATGCCAGGGCACCGCTGGGTTTGCTCTCTTCTCATGTGCTGCTGCTTCCTTGGTCCTCCATGGGGTGATCCTTCCTCCTCAGGGAGTTAGCTCAGCTCACGAAGCTGGAAGTATTTCCGGATCTATTTACTTCACTGCGTTGGTTACCATTGTGGTGTCGTCTTTCCAGCATTGTTTTCCTGATCCAAGTGACTGCACTCCTTGGCACACGCGGGAGGGAGAGGGARGGAGAGCCTGGAGGTGGAGAGGCTGCTGGGACCAATGACAGCTGCCCCAGGCAAGGGCAGCTCAGCCCCGTGTGAACCTGCAGTCGCTGAACCTGCAGCTTGCGCAYCCCCAGCCTGAACGGGAGCCAGCAGCTGGCAGGGATTCCCTGGGAAGCCYGGCTTGGAGCTCCTCTCCTGAGTGCTGAGCTTTGGGAGCACCCAGAATGTGCAGTGGGCTCCTAAGGATGGCTCAACCTATGGATTAATTCAGAGAGCAGAAGCGCTGGGTAGAGCCCATGGTGGGTTGGGACCACCCAGCCTGGCTGTGGGCAAGTTTGGGACCCGAGTAGAGGATGGCAGGGTGGATCTTAGGAGGGAATTGAAGTTCGGAGGAGAAAGTTTCAAGTTTGAAGTTGGGAGGAAGAAGTTCYAAGTTTTGGCTTCTTCTCCAATCCCTTATTTAATTTTTTTTATCCCATAACAGATCTATGAAAAAAAAACCCAAAACACATGAACAGCTCAGACTGCTGGGGTCAGAAACACACAGTCCCATAGTAGGTTGGGAACTGCACAGCATTCCCAGTTTGGGTCTTTTCCTGTCTCTTGTGAGAATTCTTTTTTTTCTTCTCCTGCTTGACTGCAAGAGGAAGAATGAACTTTGTCCTTTAGTGCAAAGCCAGGTGATAAGAGCTCCTCTCCAGGTGCTGGGAGTTGTGGGTTTGAACCTTCATGGTGACACTGGGTTTGGGTCTGTAGTGTTTGGCAAAGTGCTGTCRCTGCTGGACCATTTGTCAGACTCAACTCTTAGAAGGGTGGRAGTTCATTGRATCCCAGAATGGTTTGTGTTGGAAGGGACCTCAGAGCTTATCCAGTCCCAGCCCCTCACTATGGGCAGGGACACCTCCCAGTAGACCAGGTTGCTCCAAGCCCTGTCCAACCTGGCCCTGAATGCAGACACTGGGCAAGGACCATGTCTTTGGTCTAAAGGAACTTGAATGCCTGCATCAGGTTTCCTGAGTCCCAATGTTGGGAAGCAAAGATACAGAGAAGCACAGAGAAAACCAGCAGCACTGGAGCTTAATTTAAAAAATACACTGTCTGCAGCAGTGAGCTTTAGTCAGAGCCTTTGCTGTTTGTGCTGGAGTGCAGAGATCTGATTTTAGTTGCACCTTTCCTGCTAGTTTGAGGTGCGGTGATAAAGCTCTGCCTTATTAAAATACTCCACCCAGCTGAGATCAAATATTTAGGTAAGTGGCATCACACTTGAGACTAAATTGCTTAAGGAGCTTATGTTTTCTTACAGAGTTCTGTTCATAAATGCAGCCAAGGAGCTGAGTTTAACCCCAGGTCTGTGCACAGGGTGAGTTTGGAAGGTCAGTGGCTCCTGCCCATGCCGTGTTCACAGGGAAGGGGACAGTACCTGAGTAGCCTCATGTCACTGCTCCCTGTGTTTGGAACCTCTCCATGCCCTGTGCARGAGTTGGGATGGGGAGGGCTCTCAGGACTGTGGGGGTTGCCTCCCTCACTTGATTTTCTCTGCTCCACAGCCCTGCTCGAGAGGAAGAGTTCCCTTGTTCGTTGGTGAGCCCCAGTTGTCTTCCWGCCGTGAGGATAAAGGTCTCTGGGCTGATGCTCGTCCCTGCTGGCTTTCTCCTGGCATCCTCGGGGATAAACTCTGGGAATCTCCTTGTCTTCGCTCTCTCCTTGCCTCCTTCTCCCCCTGGACACATGGAGTGATTAACTCGTTTCTTCTTTCCTGTTCTCACTTCCTATAAGGACCTAACAACAGACCCTTTCCTGAAATGTCACTTCATTTTAAAACACCTTTTAAACAAACATCTCCTCCTCCTTTACCAAAGCAGACGATGGTTGCAGAAGGTAATGACATCCTGTGGGTAGAAATCTTTAAGGATTTCACATGTTGCTTCCAAAAATCTTGGGGGG